ATATTATTTCTGATTACTGTTTCAGGGTTGGTAGGATATATTCCTAGAAGTAGGATCACTGGGTCAAATGGCAGTTCCACATTTAATTTTTTGAGGAAAAGCCATAAAGGTTTCCATAGTGGCTACACCAATCCGCATTCCCATCAGCAGTGTACTAGGATTCCCTTTTCTCCACATCCTCGCCAGCACTTGTCATTTGTTAATTATTATGGTGAAGACCTGGGGTAGGGGACGGGTGCAGGCTGGGAGGGGTCAATGGGGAAAAAGAATGGGGGCATCTGTAATACTTTCATAATAAAGATAAATTTTAAAAACAGAAATAAAGTAGCTGAATTATAATAACAAAAAATAAGTAAAAGTGGCCAGATTCCATGAGGAAACCTTAAAAGCAGTCTCCTATTTCCACTACCATTCAGCATTGTACTTAAGAGCCTAGATATTGCAATAGGACAAGAAAGGGAAATTAAAGGCATATGTATAGAAAAAGTAAATTGTCTTTAGTTGCAGATGATATGGTTGGTAGCACAGAAAACTCCAAAGAATCGAAAGATACATGTTATAACATTGACAGTAGAGTTAGAGGATATATCAACAATGAAATGAGAAAATGTAACTTAAAAAATATGACACTGTGTCTGTTAGGATCCTAGCATAAAACAGAATTCATCCTAGATAGTTAAAATGAAGAGATTGTATCGAAAGAACTACTTACAAAGATATGGGAGGAATTAGGGGCCTCAACAATGAATAGTACAGCACTCAGACTAGCAACATTGGGGACCCATTATTATATGTAAGGCCAAAGGACAGAGATATAAAGAGAAAGTTAAGCTAGGAGTCCAATTAAGTCACCATGGAGAGAGGCTGCCCTGTGGGAGTTCTAGTCTCAGAGGGAATACAACTACTGTCAGAACCCTGTGTAGAAATAGAGAAGGGAGCAGTAAAAATAACCTGACCTCACTGGCGGGCTCAATCCATTAGGATCCCAACGGACAAGTGACCCTGGGTGATATAGTTTCTTGGGTTCAGCAACCTGGGATGGTGAGTCTATGAATAAAAATGATATTAATTCTCCCCAATTTGATGTATATATTTTATGCAATTAAAAATCTCAACAGATACACAATGAACATTCTGAAAAGAAAATTATAAAAACAATCCATTTATAATAGCATAAAAATAATAAAATGCTTAGGATTAACCAAAGTGAAAGACTTTAACAATGGAAACTACAAAACACTGATGAAGAAAATTAAAGAAAACATAAATAATTGGAAACACATCCCATGTTCATGGGTTGTAAGATATATTGTTAAGTGTCAATATTACCCAAAGCAATCAATAGAATTAATGCAATCCCTATCAAATTCCCAAGGACCTTTTTGCAGAACTAAAAAAAAAAAAAAAATTCTAAAATTCATATGGAATCTCAAGAGGCCTTGAAGAGCCAAAACAAACTTGAAAAAAGAACAAAACTGGAGGGTATACACTTCCTGATTTCAAAATGCATTACAAAGCTACAGTAATCAAAACAGTGTGGTACTGGCATAAAGACAGACATACAGACCAATAGAATAGAATAGAGAGCCTAGAATACACCCTCTCATTTATAGTCAAATGCTACTTATGGAGGCTGCCAAGACCATTCAATAGGAGAAAGGACAGTTTTGGGTGGTTTTTTTTTTTTCAACAAATGGGGCTGAGAAAACTGGATATACACATGCAAAAGAATGGAATTGGATCCTTACCTAACACCATATACAAAAATTAATTAACTCAAAGTGGATCAAGGACCTAAATGTAAGTCCTAACACAACAAAATTCTTGGAAGAAATTACAGGACAAAAGCTTCACAACATTGGATTTGGCAGCAATTTCTTGGATATGACTCCAAAGGCACAGGCAACCAAAGAAAAATGGACTTCATGAAAATTTAAAAATGTGGGCACAGAAAGATACTGACTATAGAATAAAAAGCAATCCACAGAATGAGAGAAAATATTTTCAAATTATGTATCTGATTAGGGGTTAAGATCCAGGATAATAGAGAACCCTAAAATTCAATAACAACAACAGAATGCCCAACTCGAAAAAGGGCAAAAAATTTGAAAAGTTTTTTTCCCAAAGCAGATATATGAATGGCCAATAAGCACATGAAAAGATGCTCAACTAACCATTAGGGAAACAGAAATCAAAACTACAATGAGATACCACCTCATACCCATTATGATGGCTACTATCAAAAAATAACAATAAATGCTGGCAAGAATGTGAAGATATTGGAACTTTGTCACTGTTGGTAGGAATTTAAAATGGTACAGCCAATGTGGAAAACAGTATGGAGGGTTCTTTAAAAAGTTTAAAAATAGGACTACATATGACCCAGCAATTCCACTTCCACTGTCTCTTTGAAAGCAGGATCTCAAGGAGATACTTCTGTGGTAGGCAGCTCTACAGAGATGAGCAGAGTAAGAACAAGGACGATGGGACAGGTACAGAAGATCACCAGGGAGACAAGTCCAGTGTGACCCTTCCTCCTCTAGCATATTGATGGTCAATCCGTTTAGATCCCCTGACCTTTACTCCCTAGAGATAACATCCTGGCCTCAGTTGTATTTCAGCTCCAGGCTCAGAAAAGCAGCAAAACCAGACAAGCAACACCAAGGCTGACCTCAGGACCAGCGGCACTGAATAATGGCCCCCTACCTTGGCACCAATCAGTGGAGACCACAACCCTGAAAGGGCACATCTGGAAATCTGCTGAATATTCTATTGAAATCTTCCCCTGGGACTTCCCCTAAAATCTACACCCTTAAAACCATTAGGACTCAGGACTTAGCGTGCTCTCCTTCCCTGGAGCACACCCCTGCCTTTCTCTTCCTCCCCTCCCTTCCCATTCCCCCTGGCATGTCCCCTTTACCTTCCTCACTTTTAAGCTCCAAGAGCCCTCCTTTTGCTTCTGTAACTTGTTTCCTAAACCCATTTCTTCTATCACTCACTTCGTCCACCTCTGTGATTTTTCTAAGTAAATGTTCTCTTATAGTTTGAGTCTTGGCTCTGAATTCTTTCCCAGCCAGAACTCAAGTACTGATGTTGCTGACCCAGGTCCCGTCTGACCCCACCAGTCTACACCTGGTGTTGTTACCCCCACCGCCAACATTTCTATACCTGTTCATAGTAGCATTATTCACAACAGCTAAAACATGGAAGCAACCCAACTTGACCAATGAATGGATTATCAAAATATGATATATGTATACAATGGAATATTATTCAGCCTTAAAAGAAAGAAAATTCTGCAATATGCTATAACATGGATGAATTTTGCGAACATTATACTAAGTGAAAAAAGCCAGTCACAAAAGACAAATGCTGTATGATTCACTCATACAAGGTTCTTAAAGTAGCTAAAAATCATAAAGACAGAAAGTGCCAGGGCCGAGGTGTGTGTGGGAAGAATTGGGTTATTGTTTAATAGACATAGAGGTTCAGACCTACTAGATGAAAAGCATTATGGCTATGGATAGTGGTTATCCTATATAATAAAAGCCTAATGTGCTAAGTGTCTGGTCATCTGGTCATCCATTCAACCAATCAAAGCATAATATGCTAATGATATGCTAAGGCCACTCAACTGCTCACTATGATGTGCACTGACCACCAGGGAGCAGACGCTCCGACCAATAGGTTAGTTTGCTGCCGGCATCTGGCAGATCAGGATGGACACACCCTGGAGCCCTCCTGTGGTCCCTCCCTGGCTGGCCAACCTCCCACATCCCTCCCCTGCTCCAACTGTGCACCGGTGGGGTCCCTCAGCCTGGTCTGTGCCCTCTCGTAATCCGGGACCCCTTGTGGGATGTCAAAGAGCTGGTTTTGGCCCGATCCCACAGGCCAGGCCGAGGGACCCCACTGGTGCACGAATTCATGCACTGGGCCTCTAGAGGCTGTATAACTGTTACCAGGGAATCAAACTTCCCCATCGCTCGTGGGAGCGAGGTGGAGGTGCTCGGGGTACTGCTGAAATAAGAGCTCTCAGAAGCCCCCAAGGGATCATGGGATGTGGAAAAAGGCTTTATTTGCATGAAGTTACATTGCTTGGGTTCCAAAGTTCCTTGCCCCTTAGCCAGTCCTGGAAAAAGTGCAGCTGGGGTTCCAGCAGTGTCAAAAGCAAGACCAGTGCCCAGAGTGTCTGCTCCATGGTGCAACCAGGTGTAGTTCAGCATCCAAGCTAATTAAAATCCATTAGTCCATTGTATGGTCCAACATGGCCATGATCCACGTGGGCACAGAGGAGTGCATCTCCCTGCAACAGGAGTCCCAAGAGCCCAGTGAGAGAGAGAGAGAGAGAGAGAGAGAGAGAGAGAGAGAGAAGAA